TGACTGCGAGCACGAGCCCCGAAGGGTTCAGCGCCCCCAGCTTGAGTAGCACGAGCCCGTGAGGGTTCAGCTCTACTGGCACGAGCCCCGAAGGGTTCAGCGCCCAGTAACTGCGAGCACGAGCCCCGAGGGGTTCAGCGCGCCCAGCTTGAGTAACACGAGCCCCGAAGGGTTCAGCGCTACTGGCGCGAGCCCTGGAGGGTTCAGCGCCAGGTGGCTGCAAGCACGGGCCCCGAAGGGTTTAGCGCCTCCAGTTGGGGTAGCACGAGCCCGCGAGGGTTCAGCGCTACTGGCACGAGCCCCGAAGGGTTCAGCGCCAGGTGACTGCGAGCACGAGCCCCGAAGGGTTCACCGCCCCCAGTTGAAGTTGAAGTAGTACGAGCCCTGGAGGGTTCAGCGCTGCTGGCACGAGCCCTGGAGGGTTCAGCGCCGTGGTTTTCGCCCAGGCCCCAGACACCGGATGCACAAATCAAAAACACAAACTGAAATGTCGCGCCTCAAAACAAGTGAAACGGGAAGAAACGGGCGCCCGGGATGAGCCCCGGGCGACTGACGTTCTCCTGCTCCTCCTCCTCCTCCTCCTCCTCCTCCTCCTCCTGGGGACTCATTTTGAGCGGATCTGCCTGGCCCTCGAACGACCCCGCGTGAGCATTGCGCTCAGCGGATCCCGCGGCGCCAAGATGTGGGCGCCGCACTGCGGAATGCACGGGAGCCGTGTGGCACTCGACCAGATCTCGAGCACTGCGCTCGCTGCATCGGCGCGGCGCGCCCACGGCCGAAGCCCGTGCCTCGAAGCAGAACGCGGCGGGAGCTTCCGGGAGGCGCTCGTCAGACCTCTAAGGTCATGTCGGGCCTGTCTCCCTACAGGGGGATTGTCGATGACAAATACAACATACCCCAAAAATCCCCCAAACAGGTAAACAAATACTCAAAAAATAGTCCCCAGACTATCTTTGGACTATTTTTGGATTATTTTTGGAGTGTTTTTTAGTTTTCGTCGAAAATCCCCCTGTAGGGGGACAGGCCCGACTTAAATCTAAGGAGGTCCGTCATGCATGCCATCAGTTCTGAGAGCTCTACTCGGACTTCAACTGCGAATGCTGTGAGAAACGGATCGCCACAGCTGTCTCATCATGCGAGCGCTCTGGAGCAGTATGCCTGGCTTGCAGGCAACGGCTTGGCCGAGACAGGAATCAAAGGATAGGTCGGGCAAGCTCACCTTGACTGTGCCGGCGGCCACTGGGCGCAGACTGACCCACCCCCCAAGAAGCCTCCAAGAGGCCCTCAAAGACCCCCAAGAACCACCCCCCCAGGCTCCAGGAGGCCCCCAAAGATGCCCCGAGAAGCCCTAGGAGATCCTAGGACACCCCCAAAGAGGCCTCAGTCATGCGAAATGGGCCGGCGGACTCAGCGAAGCGATTCAGTAATAAACAGGCGGCTCGAAAGAGAAGTAGCATGGCTGAAATGAGAAAGGAAGACATATGGAACATGGGCCGGCGGACTGAGCGAAGCGATTCAGTAATAAACAGGCGGCCCGAACGAGAAGTAGCATGGCTGAAATGAGAAAGGAAGGCATATGGAACAACAGCAACACCAACATACGAACCATATGTATACATGCAGCCCTGACAGTTTTTGAGCTCCAGGCTCCACCGTATTGGCCCCCCCCCCGATGGGAGGAGGCCCAGCCCGTGCCGTGGAGCCTGGCGTTCCCTCCCGCCGGGTCGATCCGATCCGATCCGCCCCTCCTCTCAGCCGCGCGCAGGGGGACAAAGGGGGAGGGGGGAGGCTTCTAAGAAGCAGGCTCCTTCTGGGAAACCTTCCCCCCCCCCGCCAATTCTCCTTCCTCCAGTTCTCCCTTCCTCCGCCAATTCCCCCCCCCCCCCCCCCCCCCTCCTCCCCCTGTTCCAACTCTCCCTTCCTCCAATTCCCCCCCCGCCCCCTTGTGCGCGCCGCCTGGTCTCCCTTCCTCCGCCATCCGTTCCGTCCTCGCCCTCTCTCACCTCTCGGCCTCGGCATCCCCCGTCCTTCTGCCTCTCCCGCCCCCGTCCACGCCCTGCTGCCACCCTCGCCTGGCCTCGCCCCATCTGCTCCTCGAGCTCCTTCCCCCTCCTCGTCCTCCTCCCCCCTCCTCCTCCTCCTCCTCTCCTCCTCCTCCTCCTCCTCGTCCTCCTCGTCCTGCTCCTCGTCCTTGTCCTCCTCGTCCTTGTCCTCCTCGTCCTCCTCCTCCTCCTCCTCGTCCTTCGCCTCCTTCTCATCGTCCTCCGCCTCCTCCGCCTCCTCCGCCTCCTCCTCCTCCTCCTCCTCCTCCTCCTCCTCCTCCTCCTCCTCCTCCTCCTCCTCCTCCTCCTCCTCCTCCTCCCCCTCCTCGTCGCGCCACCAGCCGGCTTCGAGGTGGGGATGGAGGGCGCGAGGCCCGACGCAGACGGCACCTGTCCCCACCCTGGGGGCCAGGTCGGACAGTGGGGCCGAGGCCTTCCCGGTGGGATGGGGACCCAGACGTGCTCGCGTCGTAGAAGACCAGGGCGGGGGCTTTTTCGTCGTGTTTCGGTCCTTCGAGGGCCTCGCCGGGCCCAGGGACCGTCAAACAGCGACTCAGGATGACAAATCGGTCCCGGGGAAAGGGCACTTCGGGGGGACCCCGTATTGACAAAATCAGGACGTCGCGAGGAGGGAGGGAGGGAGGAGGGAGGGGGTAGGGAGGAGGGAGGAGGGAGGAGGAGGGAGGAGGAATGCCTGGGTCTCGAGATGCTGGTCTGCTTCTCCTGCCTCCCCCTGCTTTGCACCTCCTGGGAGGTTACCTTCTGCCCTGGTGCTGGTATATGATCAGTTCGAGGGTTGCTAAAGGTACCCCTGGCACAAGGTGGCTTCATCTTTTCGCTCAAATTTGAAGCCCCTGGGGCCCCCTGGGCCTTGTGAGGGGCACTTTGGAGGCCGTGGGGGCCTCCTTGGAAATTCTGGGGGCACCTTGGGCCAGTGGCACTTCCAGCAACACCCGATCATTGGTCGAAGACAATCCGAATCCGGTCCAATCTCGCTGGATCCCGCTCAATCCTGCTTATTCCTCGACTTCATTTCGCTAAGGCCGGCTGTATAGGTCCTTAATCGGGATTTTAATAGCCCTTGATCGTTCCCACGCAGACCTCTACCTCTGTCTTCAGAGGGCGGGCGGATATCAAACCTACTTTCCACACCTTCTCTACATGTTGCTACCCACTTCATCTGACCGATGGGTAAGCGTGTGGTCGTCGTCGTCGTCGTCGTCGTCGTCGTTCAATGTCGCGTCGCCGCCGCGTCGCGCCGTGTGCCTGAGCGCATTCGGCGTGCCGTGGTTGTCCACGACGGGGCTCGATTTGGGGCTGTCGCTGGGAGCGGCGCCTCCACCCCCCCAGCGTTCAGTCGGGCGTGTCACTCTACAGGAGGAGTTTTCAAACCATAGTCAACCAATCGTCTGGGGACGATTTTTGATTTGTTTTTGACGACTTTTATTCCCAACCATCCTGTGGTGTTAGGTCCTCGTTTTGAACAGACAGCGTCCGCGTCCTTCCTCCCGCTGCCCCCCCTCCCTCTTCCCCTCATCAGCATCCCCATCATCAGAATCGCCGTCACCATCATCATCGTCATCATCATCACCATCATCATCAGTTCGGCACACCCCTCACACGGTTCGTGGTCCCATAGGGAGCTCCACCGAAGGCCTCAGTGGGTGCGTTCGCATGCGTCACCGCCACCCATCACGACACACCCCTCACACGGTTCGTGGCCCCATAGGGAGCTCCACCGAAGGCTTCAGTGGGTGCGTTCGCATGCGTCCCCGCCACCCAATTCGGCACACCCTCACACGGTTCGTGGCCCCAAAGGGAGCTCCACCGAAGGCCCCAGTGGGTGCGTTCGCATGCGTCACCGCCACCCATTACCGCACACCCCTCACACTGTTCGTGGCCCCGTAGGGAGCTCCAAGGAAGGCCCCAGTGGGTGCGTTCGCATGCGTCACCGCCACACATTACGGCACACCCCTCACACGGTTCGTGGCCCCAGAGGGAGCACCGCCGAAGGCCCTAGTGGGTGCGTTCGCATGCGTCACCGCCACACAACTCGGCACACCCCTCACACGGTTCGTGGCCCCATCGGGAGCTCCACCGAAGGCCTCAGTGGGTGCGTTCGCATGCGTCATCGCCACCCATTACGGCACACCCCTCACACGGTTCGTGGCCCCATAGGGAGCTCCGCCGAAGGCTTCAGTTGGTGCGCTCGCATGTGACACCGCCACCCAATTCGGCACACCCGTCACACGGTTCGTGGCCCCAAAGGGAGCTCCACCGAAGGCCCCAGTGGGCGCGTTCGCATGCGTCACCGCCACCCAATTCGACACACCCTCACACGGTTCGTGGCCCCATAGGGAGCACCACCGAAGGCCCCAGGGGGTGCGTTCGCATGCGTCACCGCCACCCATTACGGCACACCCCTCACACGGTTCGTGGCCCCAAAGGGAGCTCCACCGAAGGCCCCAGTGGGCGCGTTCGCATGCGTCACCGCCACCCAATTCGACACACCCTCACACGGTTCGTGGCCCCATAGGGAGCACCACCGAAGGCCCCAGGGGGTGCGTTCGCATGCGTCACCGCCACCCATTACGGCACACCCCTCACACGGTTCGTGGCCCCATAGGGAGCTCCACCGAAGGCTTCAGTGGGTGCGTTCGCATGCGTCACCGCCACCCAACTCGGCACACCCCTCACACGGTTCGTGGCCCCATAGGGAGCTCCACCGAAGAAGATGCTCGCACTTGCAGTACCCACAACTGCAATGGTTTTGTCCTTCGCCAGTTTTTTGTAAAGTTATGGATTAAAATTTCCCATGTTTCTTACACAATCTGCCTGTAGGAGGACATGCCCGACCTAACCCCAGCGCTGATGGTGGAATTCGCGGTGCTGTTTCTCCTTCTGCGCCTCCCCTTCTCTTCCTGGTGCTCCCGTTGCGCCCCTCTCCCCCCCTTGCAG